AATTAAAATATCTCCTAAACTAATGATTTTTTCACATAAATAGATTAATACTTTTTTGTAAAGAATATGAAGGAGTAACTGATGCAATAAAAAATATGTGATTCCATTTAAAAAAGCATTAATGACCTTCATATGTCCTTTACACGTCCACCTACAAAAAAATATACTACCAGCATATGCCCCTCCCAAAGCCATTCAACTTCATCCGAAACATTGTTTGCTATGAGTAATAATAATGACACAAATTTAAATGGCAAAATGTGGGCCACCCTGTATAAATGTTTAATATAAAAATTTTGGTAAAATTACCTACAAGTCGACTCGTTTTCTGGGCAACGAGAACATTTTCGTCCTGAGATAAATCATTTCGTGTCTAAACTTCAAATCAGATTCATCAAACAAAGTTCGTATGGATCCCCTCGGCTCTGTATCATGCTGATTCGCTTTAGATATATTTTCCAAAGTATAGCAACATGACAGTTCGTCCTTAGCCTGATTTAATGCGTCGCAACATATTTCGTAGCTTCTGTCTATTTCCTTCGTGGACAGGTAAGACGGTGGTTGCATGCGATCCCTCGTTGCAGTTAACAAATCGATTTTTAAACGTAGGAGACACTCCTCGCATGCTTGTTCTATGTTCATCAACTCCCTTAATGTGTACTGATAGAAAGCTCGTGTTAATCCTAGTATGCCGCAGTCCTTTGCCTTAGCTTTTGAACTATTCATAAATTAGGAATATTATTATTAATAGTTGGACTGTGAATATTAAAAAAATTAATATATATAACATGTGTATATTTTATATTTATTAACATGTGAGTATATTGATATTAATGCACAATATTATTATATTATTATTATTAATATATATATTTGTAACTTTGGAATTTTGGAACTTTGGAATTTTAGAACTTTGAAATTTTGGAAATTTGGAAATTTGGATTCTTGGAATTTTGGAATCTTGGAAATTTGGAATTTTTGAGTTTTAGAGTTTTGGAAATTTGGAAATTTGGATTCTTAGAATTTTGGAATTTTAGAAATTTGGAATTTTGGAAATTTGGAATTTTGGAATTTTGGAATTTTGGAAATTTGGAATTTTGCAAATTTGGAATTTTGCAAATTTGGAAATTTGGAAATTTGGAAATTTGGAAATTTGGAATTTTGCAAATTTGGAATTTTGGAAATTTGGAAATTTGGAAATTTGGAAATTTGGAAATTTGGAAATTTGGAAATTTGGAAATTTGGAAATTTGGAAATTTGGAAATTTGGAAATTTGGAAATTTGGAAATTTGGAAATTTGGAAATTTGGAATTTTGGAATTTTGGAATTTTGGAATTTTGGAATTTTGGAATTTTGGAATTTTGGAATTTAGAAATTTTTGAATTTTAGAACTTTGGAATATATAAATATATATACTCTATGTATATAACATATTAATATTGTGTATTAATATTAATATGCTAACATGTTAAAATACAGTGGATATTAATACTACACAATATTAATATTAACAAATATCAATTTATACTGTAACTTCTTATCAATTATATCATATCTACAAAAAAAGACTAAAATAAACTGGTACAAAGGCCTCTTATTTAAACATATTTCAAATTATTTAATATATCTTCACTTGAAACACTACATCACGTAAAAATCATTAACAAACCATATTTTTTTAATGTCTCTCTTCCGATCGCCAATAAATTTTTTAATCGGAGTTATTTCTTGTCGAATTCCTATGAGACTATTTTGTATCATATTTATACATTGAGAGTACACCTCGTCAGTTTGCAATAATTCGTGTTCGCAATTCATTTTAATAATTCTCAGAAACAATCTGAAACAGAAAATAATTTAATACAATAAAAATTTACTTATTTATAGTACGTACATTTCGTTACATACAAGCTCGATAAATGGCAGCTACTTAATTGAGGTATTACGTTTATTATATTTGTTATTTTTTACATTATATTTTGGTGCTTCTTTTTGGGGCTGATTTTGTAATGATACGTTAATTATGAAGTATAATTATCAGAAAAATTAGTTATTTCTTTTTTGATTACCTTAGATAGCAAAATCAAATAGTCGATTAGTTGATTACGTTTGTGCGCATTGTTCGAGAGCCGTATCGATACGTCACCTGAATGATGTGGAACTGTTTCCATGTGTTATATACAAAACTTGAATTTTACCTTTTTTATTAACTTTTAGTCGCATATTTATGCAGTAAGATCGAATGTAATTGTAAATTGGTGTTGATTTAAATAATTGGACGTTTATATTTAACAAATTACGAAGATGGCGCTCATTATGATTTATCTATATATTCGTAAAGTAATCGGTTGACATGTGAAGAGGTTATATTTCTTCGTGTCTGTAATGATATTCACGTTACTAACGAACGTGTTGTAAAAACTTTTGATAATAATTTTTACACGAGAAAAACGGAAAATCATAAGAACAATAGTATATAAGACCAAACTCCATTACTAAATAACCGTTATCTTCTTATTGAGCTTCTATGACAGTTGGTTGTCAAAGTATGTTGATATTTAATGTTTTCATAGAATTAAAGTCGTACTTTCCCTCATTAGCGTAGTATTATCGAACTTTTCGATACAATCGATCATTCAAAATTGTGATTACATATAATTTGCGAAATAAAAATATAAACCATAATGGTGTGAAATTTTAAAAGATATACTCTTAAATACACTGAAAGTATATATATAAAATATTTTTAGTGTGATTAAAAATTGAAGGTATTCAATACATTTTTTATTTACAGAAATTTAAGGGAAGGCAATGGGTACAACGCCAAGTCGATATGATGACCTATCCAAGAATATCTATTTGGAGAAGTTCTGTGGAAGAAAAAGTATTCTTCCAAATGATCCATTTTGGGATACCTTCTTATCATATAATATAAGACCACCTATTACAAGAAACGATCAAATAGAATTAGATTCTAGATTGGATACATCGTGTCAGAGATTACTTGCCAACAATTTGACCACCGGCAATTTTGGTAGTTTAATACAAGTGGCTCTTGCACGTGCTAGTAACCTCTTAGCACCAATGCAAAATCAGAAGTACGTTGTTTGAACATTGTGCATTTGAGAGACTCAGTGGAAAAGAGACACAGACGACAGTACTATAATTTCACATGAAAATGAATATTATTCTCTTTGATTTTTAGAATATAAAAATTTAATAGCCTATGTAAATGTGTCACTGTTTCATTGAAACCTTTAATTATGAACAAAAATGTAATTCTATAATAATTTACAGAATCATATCAGCTTGGCAAACATATAATGCATTGTTTGCGGTAAGATGTATATTAAAGTATTTTATTGAAACGGTTGGTGAGGAAGAAATGGTAAAACACATAGAAGCGCCACAGCTGCCAACACCAACACAATCAAATACTTCTTATAGATTGGAAGATCTATTTGAAGCATTATTAGACATCATAACAGATGTACCATTGGAGTAAGTACTCTACAGTAAATTTATGTTAATTATTTTGTGGATTTAATGTTTTCTTAAAGTTTTAATGAAAAGGATGCAGATATAACAGGTCTATAGATAATCTTAAATTCATGAATTATATATAAGATGTTTTAATTGCGCATTATTTACTAGGTATATTATATCGTATACAAATTTTATTTTAACAGTAAGTTCACATACGTCGTTCATCTAGAAGCAATAAATTGCCTACTTGTACTGCTTTCTGTGCAATTATTTTCACAAACTGCAGCTGAATACAGTTGCATCTACAGAATAGCGATGCACTCACATTCTAGTGAACATGCACCTGCTGTGGTGTGTACGTTATTGCATAATTTCGTACAGCAAGAACATGCTCCTCCAGGTTTGCTTACCCAACAACCAGGGGGAAGCATTGTTTTTAGTATAGCTGGTATGTTCAACAACATAATACTACCTTAATTATATACGAAAATATATTTTTGTATTTATATATAAATAATTTTTATATACGAACAGTTTATTTATTACAATTTTCTGTTGTAGAGCAATACAAGTTATAAGTTGTTAAATAGTTATGTTAATGTGACTTTATTATTTCATCATTTTGTTTATAAAAAGATTTTATGTTGCTCTATTCTGTTAACTTACATTTCAGTAATATGCAATAAAATATTACAGCTGGTTTATGGAATGTAATTACAATGGGTATGGGTAGTAGTTTAAAAAATGTACAAGTTGCAAGTAATGGTACGTCGGAAGAGGAAGAACGAAAACGTGATACAGAAACACCTCTTGCTAGTCAGTCATTATTATTGTTACTGGTTTTAACAAATCATTGTACTGCAACACAAAATCCTTACAGGAATGCTCTCTTCACATTTGTTGATATGCAAGGCTAGTATTTTAATTAATTTACTCATTGCAAAAAATATGCAGTTGTGCTGATTTGTAAGTGTAAATTGATTTTAAAACAAATATATATCTTTTTTATAGAAGACTATTCTCCTATGCAAACGAAAGGCGCATTTAGCTTCAATTTGAATAAATTGTATAATACAATATGTAAAATACCAAATACAGATGAAGTTACATTATTATTATACATGTTGCTACATAGGAATTCAAGTGTAAAACAAGACATCATGAGAAGGCCAGACATACAATTATTGGTAAGTATAAAACTAATGAAACACTTTGAAATTATTGTAAATATAATTTTAACAAAAGATAATGTACCACAAAATTTCGAATCGATATTATTATTCAGGTAACGCCAATACTTCAGATACTGTACCATGCGCCAAATAATACATCTCATCACATTTACATGTCTCTTATCATTCTCTTAATTTTAAGTGAAGACGAAACGTTTAATAAAAGAATACACGAAATAGTAAGTCATCTTATACACAATCTTTCCTTCATTTTTAAAAATTGTATATCAATGTACTAAATCTTTGATTTCCAGATGCTTAAGGGTGTAAGTTGGTATACGGAAAGATCAATAAGTGAAATATCGCTAGGAGGACTTTTAATTCTCGTCGTCATTAGAACAATACAATATAACATGTTTAAAATGAGGGTAAGAACATAATTCCGTACGAATAAATAATCATAAAGGCAGATAATAAGATGTTTTTTTTATATGCAACAGGATAAATATCTTCACACGAACTGCTTAGCGGCTTTAGCGAATATGTCAGCGCAGTTCACGTCTTTACACCCTTATGTCAGTCAAAGATTACTAAGTTTATTTGAAACTCTAGCAAAAAAGCATTCTAGGCTGGAATCAAAAATACGCGCACAACCTTTCGTTTCTTCCGACAGTACTACCGTTACAGTTAATGGAACCACGGCAAATACGGACCTAGTAAGATTTCGTGTCATGCTATGACATGACTGAATAAGTTATGCATAAAACTGATTATATTTCAGATTCAAGATCTAACAATACTTGAAGAAGTTTTACGAATGGTATTGGAGATTATAAATAGTTGCTTGACCCATAGACTTGCACATAATCCAAATTTAATATATACACTTTTATATAAAAAAGATATTTTTCAACCATTTAGAATGCATACAGCATTTCAGGATATTGTACAAAACATAGATTCTGTAAGTGTTTGATACAACGTATGTGTTTAAATCAGATATAAATGAATATATTTTTTTTAGGTTATAAACTTCTTTTCTTACAAATTGGAGCAAAAAGATCAATCACAATTAGGTGTTAGCCAGGTATTAAATACAATTCAACAAGGCACTAGTGAATGGCCGCATGATCGTTTACGGGTATCTATCAATTCTGCTTGATTCATAACATACTTACTTTTATATCCTTCCTGAAGAAATAATGTGTCATATTAAGTTGAATTTAAAATGAGGTTTCTACAGTCCAAGTCAAGATAAATCAATTCATGTTAATTTTTGTATTGCATTATAGAAATTTCCAGAACTAAAATTTAAGTACGTAGAAGAGGAACAACCGGAGGAATTTTTCATTCCATATGTGTGGAGCGTCGTATGTCAAAGCGCATTATTACATTGGAGTGCAGAGAATATAAAATTATTTTCACCTCATAATAGTGAACAGACAACAATCATCGTTTGCTGATACTGAGACAACTGCTGTTTGCAGTAAATATACGGATAGAAAACAAGTAAGATAATGTTCAATATGGTATTTCTTATAATGTAACACTTGTTTGATACAGAAAAGAAATAATATTATTTGCTGCAAGGAGAATAGAGACTAATTTTAACAAATACTTTTCTTTCATGTTTGAAATCAATTCAACAGTACTTATTCTTTACTCTTTTCAGTCTTTCACTTGATTCCATTAACATTTTATTTTCCGAGCTTGACTAGCTACTTTAATAAATTAATCGAAATAACGCTAGAAAAACTGCTGGAATGTTTTAATGTCTTTTTAATACATAAGCCTAATTAACAAGGATTGTGAATTATGGGTAATACCAATTAATGTATTCATTGTACAGTAACAAGATTAAATTTAATATCATTATAGGGTTCTGTATCGCTAAGACTGCAGTCACTCAATTATTCTTTTATGAAAGTTGCATTGTCATTCAACTATTTCCTATTATTTTGGTAAATGAAAATATTAAAATATTCAACTGGAGAATAATATAAATCACAGCATGCATACAAGTGAAATTTAAATGCAAAACATTTTCGGAGTTCTGGGTAAAATTTAAATATAAATGCTTTCAAATTTCCGGTTGAATATTTAAATTAAAACGTCATCAATTTGAATAACATTTTTTTTTAAAGTTTCTCATCTGAAAATATACGTAAAAACAATTTAAAATATGCGTTTTCAAAATAAACGATGAAAGCTTATTTATTGTAGTTTCTATTATTAAAACTTTGTAAAAAAAATACAATTAAGTATCGTTCCAAATATTATATTAAAAATTATTTTTAAAAAGTATTATAGAAGTAAACAATACCAGATAATTGAAATGTTACTACAATTTATTATTTATAATTGAAAGAAACGTTTGTTTACGTTTTATATGTATCGTATTTAATTGTAAATATATGATATGTATTAAGCACACGAGACAATGTTAATTGATAATTTAATAAAAATTTTAAAAATTCGTAACATAATAGCATTAATAGATGCTATTGAAAATAATTTTACTTTTTAAAAATATATCAATTATATTAAAATAAATATATCCTGACCTTTATGACTATCTCATTTATTCTATTAAACTTTTAATTTAGATAATTAAAAAATAAATCAAAGTTTTGAAGGAATACAAATTTAATGGTGAATAACCAGTAAAGAAATGCTCATTAAATGCTTAAATAGTTTCCACATTGGATTTGTATAAATATAACATAACATTTGAATAACGTATCCACATAAAATTATAATTTCACCAATATTAAATAAAAATATTGAATGATTACAGATCAAGAGGAGGACAAATTAATATCAACTATCTTCCAGCCTATAGGACATTGAAACAGCAAATTCTTGCAAGTAAAACCTAGTTACGTACTTCATTTAACACTGAAAAGTTAAACCCTGGTAAGTGTCCTATCGGCTGTAAAGTTAGTTGAAACAGTTTTCGAATGTACATCTTTATTAAACAAATACAGTTGACGTCTTAATATTATTTATAATATGTCGTTATAGATAGTATTTCATTTTCCTAGCCTGTGCAGCGTGTATATGCGGCCGCGCGTGTCCTCTGTTCTGTGGTGTCACCGTGTATGTACGTGTTTCGTATGAGTTTCATCTCTGTTCATTTATGTCTGTATGTATCTGTTTCTTTTCTTTCCTGTGTACAGTATACTATTGCTAATATTTCTCTTGTCGAACGATCTTCAGTTGCAGAATAACAAGTTTTAATTTGACGTTTCTGTGCGTCGCGTGCAGACGCGCCGAGTAACTCAGTGTGTCACGTGATTAACTTAGAACTCATATTATAACCTTTTTTTTTTACTTAGCCGTTACGTCACTTGACTTTGAAACTGTGCTTAGCGTACAGATAGTATCAGTATCCATAATAATTAAATTCCTTAACTGTACTATATTACTTAACCTTATTAGTTAACACACAATCAATCTGCAACGGGAGGGAATTTAGTCGGTCCGTAACGTCTCGTGTACGGCCTAGCCATACAGGATGTCCCAAAAAGATCGTACAACTCGAAAACCGTACATTTCATCATTTTACAATCGTACAAAAGAGCAATTTTCAATCGCTTTGAAATTAAATTACAAAATGATAAGCAACTTCAATCCGTTTTATATGTACAGCTGTTGAGTTGGTCAACTTTTGTAGGACACGCTGTATAATTGGTATAGTTGATTATTTTTAACTCCTTACAACGTTACCGTAGGATTGGTTTCTTTATAATTTTTTTTTGTCTCTGAACGCTGAATTATCTCACTTATCTGACAGACACGTACCTACGCACGTAATTTCTCTGGTCTACTTCATCCGAATGACCATTTGTATTAATACAATTTCAAATTATATCTGATTATTCAAATTGTATAATTGTCTGACTAAACTGAAATAAGAGTTTGCGTCACAAGTTAAAATTAGCATTTCCATACTGTTATGCTAAATAAGATACCTAGGATATTAGGTAAAGATAGTATGGTACAGGCAGTACCTCATGCTAGAAGATTAGAAAATTTAAAAAACCCAACCTATAAGGACCAAATGTCCGAACAGAAAATGAATGGTCACCGTAAATTTGTGAACATACGTACGTAAGTACGTAAATTTTGCAATATGAATCAGAGGCGAGAGCGTACTATTGTGTATTTGCCGTGCGTCCGAAGTGCTCTAACAAGTTCGGACCAAGCGTTAGGACCGGAACCGAAGATTCACGAACGCGGGAGACCACGTGACTCGGTGATAATCGTGAAAACGGTCCCGGCATGCCGCAACCTGGGCCGGTGTAAAATTGAAAATATTCTGCTGACTATTTAGGCGAACGGTACGTGTAAATGTCGAAGAGTATGTATATTATATACGTAAACATACATACACGGATACATGTGCATATGTATACGTACGCTAGCTGCCTACAAAATACAATAGTACATTACAAATTCATAGCTTTCTCATCTTTCTTTTTTTTTTCCCTCTTAAATCGATCATTTGCAAACAGCTTAGATATATTTTTTTTTATGTATAATATATATTTATATATATTATAATAGTATCATCTAGTTGGTTTTTGTTCTGCGTAGTTTCTTTCTTCATTTCCCTCTTTCCATACAATTAATAATAATTAAGTACATCTTTAGAGCAGGTGCGTACACCTTTTAGTTAGGTTGCAAACGGTGTCGTTCTCTCTTCAGCAATCGAGGAAAACGGGTCATTTCCGATACGTACATGTATCTCGCTTCAAACGATCCGTTAGACCGAGTAATAAAAGAGTGATTCTTTCCCTATACTCGTCGATAACGACTTCCGGCCGCGCGGCGTATATACCGCGTTTCGAATTTTCGCGCTCTTGATATTTCGAAAGCCAGCATATTTTTTCTCTTTTCCTGTTTCTCTCCTTTTGTGCAGTTATTTCGTACTTTTAACGACGCGTAAAAAAAGACTCGAGAACAGGTCTTTCCAGCGTTGCATTGTGCGATCGCAAAAAAGGAATCGGTCAATCGTGGTCTTTGATGAGTGTATATGTGTATGTATGTATGTACGTGTATATCATATAGTAGACTACAGTAGTCCCGTAAAAAGGAGTCGAATCATTCGAATAGGATCATTTTACACCGTACACAAGCGAAAAATGCGTTCAGATCGATCTCATTGAGACTCAATTGCGTTAACACGAATAACTACGAACCGAGGTTACAAATCAGATTCGATATTCGATAGTGTTTCAGCTGGTCTTGCGAACGAAGTGCGCATACATGTGAGCGCTTGAAAACATTGCAAAGAAAATAAACGATGAGGTGAATTTCTAACGCTCCATTTTGACGATTACAAATGGCGACACTTCGATCAGAGCTTTTCCGTTCTTCGTCGAACAGAAAAAGAAATACAAAGAAATGCGTGAAGATAGCGCGCGTACCTTTATCTAAACGTAACAATGAAGAAGTCGTGGTAGTAAACAAATGATGAAACACAATTCGCGATTATATGGCAAGTAACATCACGAGTTGTTATGTAGGAGCTCTTACGAAAAAGTTTTCAAACGTCCGACAAATCTCTTATAAAAATGATATGATATGCTCGTTGGAAAAATAAATTGTTCATATAGTTTCTATGAATATAGATATCCGTACACAAACTTTCAGTACTAAATATTCGATCGGTCGGTATAACTCTAAATACATGAATACATACACAACATCCTTTCATTACTTCGTAGCGAGTATCGATGCGCAGTCATCACGAGATCATTCGTCCAAGAATTAATACCCTGCGGATCATTGCACATACGGGGTCAATCGTCGCGCGACGATCCATGCGCGATCAAACAAATTTAACGTGCAAGGTCGCCGGTTGACGAGTGACCAGTCTCTCCCTATGCGTCTGTCCTTAACACCTATGCCATTATTAACAGTCACTGTTTCAAAAATACAACAACGGTAGAGCAGTTACTTTCGAGAGACCTCTCGAGCGGTACGCTTAACATTGCGAGATACACTGATATAGGAAATCAGTTTCGAGTGTTCGCTATTAAAATATAGAGTAGAATTCAACATATACATAGTCGCGTAAAGGCACGTAAAAATATCAGTTTCCCTATAAAAACGAGCATGATTGCACGATAATCCTTTTCGGAAAATAACAAACGATACCAGCCGGGCCCGATCGAATCATCGCTCTGCGCATTATTTCAAAATCGTATCCGCACAGACGTGGAGGGCTCTCCCTCCTTCCTCACCACAGAATAATGATCGGACACTGTATGTATAATGTAAGCACACGTGTCTCATGCACATACACATGTACTTCGTGACAGGTCAGTATACGCGACGAGCTCCCATACAAATCTATATGCATGCGCACACATGTATACGGATATGATATTATACCGTACTTAATGGTGAAGCACTATCATAAGATGCGCGACAATGTCCTTACTAAGAGCTAAGAGTTTCTTTTCATTTTTTTTTTTTGTAGATTGATCAGGAAGGAACATTGTGCAAATTATAATTATAGGTCTTCGCTTAAAAATAATAAATGGAAAATTGGGCAAGTATATCGTACGATGGCACGCAGGTACAGCCCGACTCGATTACAAATCTTTTGATATCGCGTTATAATACTGAAAGGACCCGCGTGTGCTAATTCGCTCGAACTTTTCATGAAAAAATATACATTTCTGAGATCAATCAGAAATAAAGAAGAATATTTTCGATAACGTCGCGAGAATTCAGATCACTTTATCGGGCTGGCCTGCGTCTAAAAGAAATCATAACCGAATTATAGCGGCGAATACAGTCAGCATTAGTAAAACTGATAACAATAGAATACAAAGAATTGAAGATAAGAGAGTATAAAAAAAGTTCCCTCGTCCTACTGCTACCGGTAATAAAAATAATAATGCTCGTAATAATAGTAACCGTAATAATAATAATAATAATAATATTAATAATAATAATTAGCGGTAATGAGTGACATAAATTAATTGCTTCCAAACGTTTACCGAGAACAGATCCCAGTAAACTTAAGTATGTATTCTTTTCACGTGTATCTTTCATCTAACAACACCAATGACATGTTGTAGATAGAAAGTGTTTTAACTATTCGATAAAGCGTCCCGCACTCTCTTACAAATTTTGCTGGCTTTTAAGGAGAGTACTAACTAGTTGGTGCATTAACATTTTACAGTACCAATGTCATCTATGGGGACGGATATAATACGACGCTTTCGTGTTCATATATATATGTATAGGTATATATATAGGAATATCGGATTAATTGGCGAAAAATATTGGCGAGATATCCATTGAAAACGCGTTGAATATTAAAACCGTTGAAGCTCGATCGATCAGAGCATATCGCTGACGAAATTAGCTGTATAGATATGCTATTTGCGTTACGAAGCGTCACAAGTAACGAAAGAATAACGATCAGTTTGATAAAGGGAACACGATGAGAAACGATAATAAGTTAGTACTCCACTTAATCACCATACGAAGAAGGGGGGGATGGTGAATGCAGAGGAATAGTAATTTAAACGTCACGATGATCCCATTCCAAGTCATGAGGCGAATTGTGACGGCGATGCCGACCGTTACTAAGCTCGCAATCGTTTTCGCAATCGGAGCTGTCCAGGTCGTCGTCTCTGTACGATCCGTCCTCCGAGTCTGAGCTTCCAGAGTCGTCCACGTCCTCGTCTCTCTGGCTCTGATGATGAGCATCCTGCTCGGTAAGCCTCTCCATGGGATTCACGGTGATAGCCAACGCGGAATCGTCCCAGGCCATTTCAGTCTCGGCAGCCAACTCGTCGCCGGCGGAGGGTCGCCTTTTCGCGGCGCCCCTAACTCTAGCTGCGCCCACAACCGCCATCAGGAGCAGGAAACAGATGCATGCAGCCGCGACGATGGTAACTGCGTGGCTGCCGCTTGGTCCACTGACACCTTCGCGAAGAGCGGCGGTCGCGTACTCCTCGGGCAGGTCCGCATGATGAGGAGACAGCTGCACGTGACCAGGTACTGGTTCCAGGATTCTAGCTATCGGCGGTTCGTCCGAAGTCGAGTGTGGAATCGCAGTGGTCTTCTCCTTCGGGTGAATAACGGCGAGAGTCTGCACGTACTCGTTGCTGGCGAAGCGACCGCTAAGCTCGGAACAGGTCAGTTTGAATACACGGTCGAGATAGTAAGCCGGCTTGCGGTTCGTGTACATGATCAGACGGATTAGCTGCTGATAATTGTAAGGCGTATCGGCGCCCGAGAGAACAACACCGTCCCGATCTACTCGCGCCGTGATGGCACGGAATCTACGTAGGGCATCTCCGGGTAGACCTAAACTCTCATGGTCGGGATTTAGGCTGGGATATACGCTGACCGCACAGGCGTCTAATCTGGCGGCGGAACCGGCTGTGACACGGGCATCAGGGAATACCCGAACACCCAGACGAAAGTCCGCGTATTCCCTAGCCACGTAGCCGGTTCCGTTGACGGTGATGCCGGGACGCGGTGGCGGCAAGACCGTGACGTACGACTGAACGGTCGGGACAGGGAGAGGATTATTCTCGCTACCCTCGCATACAATGGTCGTTTCTAAACGGAAATTGCGACGACCAGGAGTGGGAAACCGCCTCGAGTTGGAGTACCCGATACGACGGAGGAGTGTCTCGACATTAGTGCGATTGTCCCCGTCGATTCGTACCTCTGTTAAGTCGGAATTGGTCAGCAACTGAGTTCCCGGTTGCAGCAAGTCCATCGACGGCACGTGGATACCCTCCTGGCAACGACGCAGGCAAGACAGCACGTCAGGTTTCTCGTTTCGTCCGACCAGAACAGACAGTCCAGCCAGGTAGCCTCGGAAGTGGTGTTTCGTTTTGTTGTCAGATCCCTGCCAGCATGCACCCACAACGAGGGTCGTGTTGACACCCTTCGCAGGATGCAACGGCCAGTCGTCGATGACCTCGGGGTTCTTCTCGTCCGAGTGCCATTCCTCGCCGTCCACGAACAAGGTCACATGAGGGAAATCGACCTGAACGGCATAATGATGCCACTTGTCGTCGCACACTTGAGCCAGCTTCCAACGCCACTCGGCAGGCCGGAAGATGTTGGGATCTCCTTCCGAGAAGTCGCGTCTGAGCAACAAAATCAGCCGGCAGTTTCTGATGAACAGGGCGTAATGATGTCTATTCATCTCTGCAATTGAAACGTTTTAGGTTTAGTTAATCGCTCGAGGCCGATTCAAGCAGACGAAGATGACTTACTGTGATCATCAGCGGCGCACAGGATGTGTTCCTTAACGTGAGGATCTTGCCTGGGGCGAGGTCTGTGCTTCACCCATACGCCGATGGTGAACTTCTGCGCCAAGGTGTGCTCGAGTACATCGCTCGGTATGATAGCCGCCGAATCAACGCCGTCGAATTCGAAGATCTCGTCGGCCTCTCTGCCCTCGTCCCGAGACAACGACGCAGTCCAGGAGGTCGTGGGCCCAGGGGTTGGCAACAGATCCACGCTGTCTCGCGATGCACCGCATAACTTACGTTGGCTGCGTACACCGTACGTGTCACGGTCGCATCCTTTCCCTATATGGTCCGTGGCGAGAGTCAAGGTGGCTCGGACGTTACGCAATATACAGGGAGCATCGCAGAGATCCAATCTGGCGGAAGGAAGCAAAGGCTGGGATCCCACGCCCGCTGCGTAATCGACCCTTTCTGGGATTCCTCTCCATCCAGGCGCACAGACACGGTTGACCTTAACGGTGACCATGGCCGGGGCAGATTGCTTCATGCCACAGTCATACGCCACCACGCTCAGTATATAGTTATGCGAACGCTCGTAGTCCAGCGGCTCCGTGTTGCGTATGGCTCCCTCGTTATCGATGATGAACGGCTGATCTGCTGTTAGAATCTCATATTTGCATACGTCACCGAATTTCGGAGTACAATCCCTGTCGGAGGCCTCCACACGCACCACCTCCTCGTACAGACGTCCCTCGTCCACCGTGCTGACATAGGCCGGTTGCAGAAACTGGGGGGCGTACTCGTTCACGTCCACCACGGTAATGTGGACCGTGGCACTGAAATTAGGTTCATCAATGAGACCATTGCGATTTTGATAGAAACAAAAGGTCCACATTTACAGTTAACGTTGTACTCTTGCACCTTTTGTGGCGATTTAACTTTTTTTACATAAATTGAAATTTCAAATTATAAATTTAGCAATATGTGTTAGGCTTCAGAGCCTAATTTTTAACATCAGTAAAAGCATGGATTTAATTTGTAAATGGATATATTTTTTAATCTACGGATTTTGTGGATTTTTAATTACTTCAGATTAATTAGAGCAATGTAACTCTTGGTTCGTTTTCAAATAATTTGAATAAACGTCATCGGTAACCTCGATGACCTCGGAACAGTCGTGTTAATCAATAAGTGAATTCGTTTTGATCCGTTAGCAGGTCAAGAATCGTTTCATAATTAATCAACGGCCCATCAAGAATTCTGGTAATATAGGCTGCCCCGAAACAGGAAACATGTTCTAAAATATTTGTACTTTTAAAGTTCAGCTGATTATAAGATCCGCTCCGGAGATTCGTATCTTATGTTTGGAAGTTATTAAACTTTCAGATGAATATTTTTAAACTGCTAATTTTGTATTCTGCAGCACACTGCATATCAAATATCATTACTGCTCTTATCGACTGAGAACCTCTGAGAACATTTTAGAACTTTTTTACACAAAATATTTCTCGTGTCAAATTTTTGTAAACTTGCAAATTAAAATCTAAATGTAAGAATATTCCTTTGAATTTCTTAAATGAACGAATTCTAAAATTATTAAACAATGTCCCCGATTCGAAGTTTCAACAGGATTCAAACGTAAACCCAAGTTTGCGAAAGCGAAATAATTACATAACGCCGTTATCTCGTTTCCACTTATAGAACATGTTCGATGATTTGACTTGAGGAATCCGGAGCATAACAAAATACATCTCGTTTTGGGACACCTATCGAGGTTAGATGAAATCACGTTCCCTGAAAGTTCATACTTTTCCGATAGCGATCCGTTGCAGCCGACGGCTTCGATATCGAACTTGTAGTTTCGTCGCTTCTCGCAATTCAGAACTCGAAGTGCTCTCAGCTCGGCGGTTCCTTTCTCTTTCAAAACGATCTCGAACGGCGCCTCGCCATGGTGTTTGTTCGCAATACGGAAGGAGCATACTTTGGCACCTATCGCTCGTATTTGTGGCGTAACCTCGACCAGAGTTTCGTTTTCCTTCACCAGGCCATGGTATCCGCTTTCCGGGCTGTCCAAATCCAGTCGTGGTGCTGTGAACACGAATTTAGGCATTTTTTTATCAAACTTGTTTTTAAATATTTTGCAAATATTTCTTGAATATCTTGTCGATGTTTTGTCAATATTTTGAAAATATTGTGGTGATGTTCACCATATAAATTAGGTCATGGGGATGTTCATTATAATTTATTATGGTTAGGTTTATATGGTTATGTAAGGTAATAAGTAGTATTCATGATGTAACGTAGAAAGATCAAATAATATTTAACAGGCTTAAGATATGTATAAGATATGAAGATATTAAGATATGTATAAGTGGATTTATTGATTATTTTATCAGAAATATTATTTTGTATAAAATAGGGCTTGTAAGATATTTTATGTGAAAGATGTGTACATTTTTGTGCCATTTTGTCAAATTTTGAGCTTTAATATGAGTGATATTTTTAAGTACTTTGGATATTTGTAGTCTTTAAAATTGGTCATCGTTTGCTATGACTAGTCAGCCATTTTGAATTGAGAATATTTGTATAGGTACTTTCTACAAGCTTTGAACTTAAAATTAATATAATGGAAGTGGCATTTTGTGATACTTTTATGTCATCAAATTGTTTTGGTTTTTGTCCATTTTGTTACAATTGGCAGCCATTTTGTATTAAAATAAATTATGATGTGTTTGTACAGTTATTTTTTATGAGTTTTAAGCTTTAAATTGGTGTAGCACAAGTGCCATTTTGTGTTACTTTTATGTCATCAAATATTTAAAATAGTTAAGCTGTTTGAAAGTTTATATATTACAAAAATGGTCACCATTTGATGTAACTGATATTCGGCCATTTTGTATCAAGGTAAATACTGATGTGTTTATATAGTTATTTTCTATGAGTTTTAAGCTTTAAATTGGTGTAGCATAAGTGCCATTTTGTGATACTTTTATGTCATCAATTTGTAGTAGACTATTTATACTTTGAAAACATTTATTAGTTATAATTGGTGACCATTGTTTGCTACAACTAACGGTCCTCCATTTTATAGTAGAAAAGTTACTGAAAAGTTTATGTAGTCATTTTTATGATGCTTCAAGGTTTATTTTAGTATAACATAAGTGCCATTTTGTGAAACTTTTATGTCATCAAATGTTTCAAACAGTCAAACTGTTTCAGTGTTTGTATGTCTCAAAAATAGTCATAACTTGATATAACTAATAGTCAGCCATTTTGTATGAAGGTAAATAATGATGCATTTATATAGTTATTTTCTACACAATTTAAGCTTCAGACTGATATAGCATAAGTGCCATTTTTCTCACTTTTATGTCATCAAATTGTTTGAGTATTTTTCCATCACAAAAATGGTCACAGTATGATGTAACTGATACTCAGCCATTTTGTATTAAAGTAAATACTGATATGTTTGCATAGTTACTTTCTACAAAATCTAAGCTTTGAAAAGATATAGTATAAGTGCCATTTTTTTGTCATCTTTATGTCATCAAATTTTATATCACTTTTCATATATCCCAAAATGGTAATAGCCTATAATAATTCGCAGTCAGCCATTTTGTATTAAGAACATATGTTTATTTCTTTGCAAACAATTTGTACAAACTAAAATTACACTAATAACACCATATAAGTGTTAACAAATATAAATTCTACTTTCCAACTTTAGATACAAAATAAAATAAACAATTTTGTCTTAATTTCTCTTGCCTTATCAAACCGAATTAAATTCATGATTCAAACACGCACAACGCAGGGGTTGCAACAATTCTTCCCCTCTGTTTTCCCGCACTTAATGAAACTAATAAATCAACAACGAAACAATAAGGTTGCTGTTTTGGTTGTTTATAGTTTCATTTTGGAAGGGCTTACGAAAATATAGTGACCACTGCAGAGGAATAAAATTTCTTTATTCCTTTAAGGTCAAAAGCTTGGGTATTCAACTAAATCCTGCGCGGATTTGTGTCAAACTCCGATATTTACCGAAGCATGTGGGCCACGGAAAATGAAATAAATGTTACGAGGAAATAAAATTTTTCCTTTTCGCTAAAGAGATTAAGCCGCGGTAACACGGTTATAAAATCGTCGTTTTAATTCACTTGGAATCGGCGAAAAATTTTCGTCGAACCGTAATATTTGCGAACGGGTTTGTTCGGAGATTGTTGAAGAGTTTTTTTTACTGATAAAAATCGAACTCTTTGCGAAAGAACACAAAATGCGAACACTCCCCGATAAAAAATGTAAATATAGTTTTCTGTCGAGAAGAGAAAACAAACGAGGACCGACGATAAAATTTGTTTTACTGAATATTCAACGAAAATATTACTGTTTTTGTAATAACACCTTTATCAAAAGTATGGTTTTTTATCTTTTGTTAAGACTTGTACTAGTGATATAAAAATACTGATAACGATAACTGTATTTAGTCACAAAAGTTTTTCTGACAATTTTTACAATAAATCTTTAAAATATATGATAGCGATGACAGTATTTAATAACAGAAGTTATTATGACAGTTTTCAAAATAAATCTTTGGAATATATGATAGTGATGACTGTATTTTATAACAGAAGATATTATGACAATTTTTAGAATAGATGTTTGTGGTATATTATAGCGATGACTGTATTTAATAACAAAAGTTATGACAGTTTTTAGAATAAATCTTTGGAATACATGATAGCGATGGCTGCATTTAATAACAGGAATTATGACAACATTCAGAATAAATCTTTGGAATACATGATAGCGATGACAGTATTTAATAACAGAAGTTATTGTGACAATTTTTAAAATAAATCTTTGGAACATATGATAGCGGTGACTGTATTTAACAACAGAAGTTATTATAGCAGTTTTTAGAATAAATCTTTGGAATACGTAAAGAGTATCTGTTTAGTAATTAATCTACAAGGTATTCTTAAACGGTAGAATAGAATAGTAACATAGCAAAGTGATAAGCGTAATATGATACCAAGAATATAATCATAGAATAACAGTATAGTAGTACGTTAAGAATGTAGAATAATATAGAGGTGTATATAATAGTGTAATAAAAAAGAACAGTAAAATAGCAAATTGGTAATATAGAAAAATGATAAAATCATAGAATAATAAAATGGTAAAATGTAGTACTATAATAGTAGAACAGAACAATGGTCAACATGGTAAAATGATAAAGATAGTGGAATAATAAAATAGTGCAGTAGTGGAATGATAAAATGGGGAAAGTAGTAGTATCGTACAATAGTGGTATACTAAGAGAGTAAATATAGAACAGTAGCATAATTGTGTTAGTAGTATAGTGAAATGGTAGAATGACAGTATAGTAGAACAGTGAAATTGTAGAATAGTAAAATGGTAGAACAACGAATGGTGGAATAGTAGAACAGTCAAATGTTGGAACTGTATAATGATGATACGGCAATATGGTAGAATAGAAGAAAGGTAGTATAGTAGAATGGTAGTATACTAATATAATAGAATTATAGAAGGTTAATATAGTAGAATGATAGAATAGTGATACAGTAGAATTATAGAAGGGTAGAATAATAGAATGGCAATAAAATAAAATAGAAAAGTAGAATAGTGAAATAGTAAAATAGTAGAGTCCCAACAGAGTAGAATACAGTAAAATAATAAAGTAGTCAATATGCTATCACTGTAGAATAGTAAAACAGAAATCTGTCAAATGATAAAGCAGTAAAACAATAAGAATGCCAAAACACTAAAAAAGACAAGAATAAATTATCAAATAAAATAAGAATAAAATATTGAAACAGTAAAATACCTAAAATAGTAGAACAGTGAAGGAGTGTCAAAAAAAGAACCATCCTAATTGCATGTACCCGCGCACAATTAATATTCATTTTGAAGCAAATTACAGAATACCCTAATGGGTGCGCACATTGAATAATTAATGTTCCATCGACGAAATTCGATAGTTATTCTAGAGTAGAGCAGCCCCTAAAGCGAACATACCACACGGATCGTGGCTCGATTTCGCAACATAATCCCCGAGAATTTTCGAAAGCTCGTTGACGAAGATAAAATAAAAAGCATATAAGTCTCCATAAAAATAGACTGGAAAGTCGGTGGAGAGTGTGGCACCTCGAAACCTGACGCAACACGCGGTAATTAAAATTTCAGCCTGCTCTAGACAAATCTTCAGCGTCTGTTTTCATCAACGCGCGGATACTAACGAAAATTGCGAATGTTCATTATTCTCTACCTTATTAGAACCAGAGAGGAGATTAATAATTTAGCCAAAGTAGGTCATTATTTCTCGAGTATTAATTAACGGTAACCGGGCGTTTGTTACTTTTTCTTCGGTGAGCTCTCGTCAACCTGTTATTTCAACGACGACACAGAAATACACGCGTTCGAATAATAATTCCGTGGAATTAAACTAATTAGTTTTTCTCTTTGATCGCGCATGGGGTGTGTTTCTTTATTTACTTGGTACGTTTCGAACTCCGTATCTGAGGTTAGTCTTCGATTCGTTGACGAAAAAAATGCTATTAATTATAATTGTGAATGTGTCCCTACATTTCGATATATTAATTTCGAAGGACCCTAGATCCAAATAGGTTTAGTTCCCAAATATCCCTAGATATCAATATTTGTCGCGACAAATATCCCTAGGCTCTAGTGCATACAGTTCTAAATATCCCTAGATTTCGATCACTATAGTTCCAAATGTCCCTAGATCCCTAATATCTATAGTTCCAAATATCCCTAGATTCCGATCTCAACAGTTCAAAATATTCCTAGATTCTAATTGCCGTAGTTACAAATATCCCTAAACCCCCAATCTCTATAGTTACAAATATCCCTAGATCCTGACCTCGACAGTTCAAAATATCCCTATACCCCCAATGTCGAAAGTTTCAAATATCGCTAGATCCCAATTTCGATAGTACCAAATATCCCTAGATCCCCGATATCGATAGTTTCAAATATCCCTAGAACCCTGATCTCGATAGTTCCACATATCCCTAAATCCCCGATCTCGATAGTTACAAATATCCCTAGATCCCGATTTCGATGATTCCAAATATCCCTAGATCCCGATCACTATAGCTCCAAATACCCCTAGATGAAAGTATCACTAAATTCCAATTTTCCTAAAACACAATATCCCTAGACACCAGTATTCTTACATTCGCAACTTCCCTAGATCCCAACATTCTTATATTCCAATTTCCCTAGAGATCATTCCCCCTAAATTCCTAACACTCGATCTCCCTACATTCCTAATCCAAAATATTCCTAGATTCATATAATATGTCGACCAGTATCCGTAGACATACATCTGTATTTTTAGGAGAATACACACCTAATCACAAATAACAGCAGAGGTTAATACACGAAAGGAAAAAAATAGCGATATTATTTCCACATTTGTATAAACTCGATTTCATTCCTTGAAAGACGAATAATTGTTTCGTGATTAATATGATTGGTTATCGCGTTTTGTAGAAACCTTCGTGTCAACCGTTATCAGACTCGATAATTTAATTACACGTAATCCGCATTCTTTACTTGTCGAGATGGCGATTTTACCGCTGGCCGCTCTAATGGAAACTCGATACACCCCATTTGCATGGTAAAAGTTGCCCGGCAAATTGCTAAAATCGAGCGCTAGGAAATTCTATGAATAATTACAGTCTCCTTTTTTTCCGAAAGAATACAAACGGAAATTAAGTTTCGTTTAAAATCAACGAAAACAAGATTGCATCTACCTGGACCAATAAATTCTCAACGCGATAATCGAACTATTATTTCCCTTTCTTTTTTGGACGCAGTCACGGTAATCGAGTTAGAATTTAGTCGCCGTTCAATTGAACGGCCTGTCAACTAATAGGTTGTATTAAAACTATGAATAATTGAATGTACAGAATAATTTGATATTGCAATAATCTAAATGGCATTTTTTAATTTTTTATATAAAGATAATTCCTTTGTTCAAACGTATCTTGATTGTTATTAATAAATGATACACTATTTTCTATTTATTGTATTAATTTGGTACTATTTGTTCATTTCAGTTTTGACTTCATTTTAACAATTTTAATTTTGTCAATTTTGCAAGTTATTTTGAGAATAACAATTTGACTCGAAACAATATTTCAGAGTCGTTAACTGTTAAGGATAATTCATCAATTTTTATTTTTATTGTAAATCAATTTTTTGCCACGTTCAGAATTAGTATACTAAATATGAGAATAACGCATGTATTAATTATGTACATATGTGTTTAGCATGCGTTTAACACAAAAACCTTCAAAATCTGAGAAGATGGGTCGTTTTATAGCGTGACTCATTATCTGACACAACTACGAGAATAACTCGAAAGGTTTCTCTTGAAAATGTGACAACAGTCTAACTTTACCAAAATGCTATTGTACTAAAAAATTAGTAGGAAAATTTGAATCAACGTTACACCTCAAAAATATACTAAAATATAAAACAAAATATATTTGTTAATATTATTAGTATAAAATAAAATATATCTATTAATATTATTAGTACAAAATAAAATATAACTATGTATATTACTATTACAAAATAAAACATACCAAAATGAAAAAGAACCGAAAATTGAAATTGCTCGAATTATTTACAAATATTTCGCAAATATCGTATGTCCGTATCAAATTTATTATTACATTCGATCTTTACATTTTTCAGATATTTACTTCGCAATATTTATAACGATTTTTAATTAAAACGAATAGCGTTTGAATCGATTACCCTGCGCCATATTTATCGTAATTTTTTCACATTGCTTCGGTAGAATTCAGGCAATTTTAAAACGAAAGTAGATTTATTGATCCATGTTAATTACCAGTTTCTATATAAGTCAAATTGATTATAAAATATAAAATAATTCTTATATAAATTTGTAAGTTTATTGAAAATAATTGAATATATTTTTTATGCAAAATTATAATTTTGCTGATTGTAAAATCATGTTAAGAGCCCTTGTCAAATTTTTTTTTAATAAATTTAAGCTATAAACAATAACTTTATAAATTAAAATTTTGTTCCCTCTATTTTGTATGGAATACACTAATAAAATATTTACACAGTTGTTTTCATAAAATTTTAAGTTCCAAATTGAGACAAGTATTTACAATCCTTTTACCTTATTTTTATCCCACTTAATTAATCAGTGAAATTTTAATTTAATATAAAATAATATTTTATAAAATTATCATCAAATCCTGCTGCACTTCATAATACTTTAAAATTTAATCTACTTAACCTCAATGTCGAGCCGACATTAATTTGATAAAAGTTTCTAATAAAATATTAAAGTTAACAAGGTCCCGATACAAATCTTATCATCCCATCGATAGAACCAGAAAAGGAAACGAAGATCAATTAAAACTCTTGCGTAATTAAAAGAAAGAAAAACAAAAGAAAATGTATTTCGTTAAGTGTTTCCGCTAAGCAAAACTACCGTCTTGTTCAGAACAAACAGAAAGTCAAAGGAAAGTTCGTTGTTTGAATATTCTGTAAACGTAAGTCTAATATCTTCCGGTTTCTTCCTCGACTTCGAGAAGTTTCATTGAAATTGGTGTGTAGCGATTCCTTGGCAGGTGTTAAATTGAACTAAATTACGTTTGCTGTTGCTTTCCGCGAAGTTTTGACACTTTGCATGTTCTCCATTAAGAACGGGGTCATACACATTTTACAGCCACGTATAACTAATATCAATGAAACTCGAATCAAATTTATCGACAAAATTAATACGAAACGCAGAAAATTTTAATCCATCTTTTAGTTCCAATGTGTTTTCATTTTTTAAAAATTCAAATCGACGAAAAAAGTTTCTGATATTTCTACAAAAAATTAAGATTTAAATTTGAAACATAATTAATTTTCTGACAGTAAATGTCCAAATTACTTCTTGCACTTAAATATTTTACTAGAGAAATCAAAGGAACAAAAGGATATTTATTAAAAGAAAATGCTATTTGAATATTTAAAACGATTTAAATAAAAACGACTTTATTTAGAATTTCATTAGAATCGTGCAATTTTAAAATGAACCAATTCTGATATTTATCTGCAATAATAATTGAAAATAATCAACAAATAACAATACGCCATATTCCACGATTACCAGATTTGATTTTCCGTTTATTCGATTTGTAAATAAATTCAGATTAAATTGCTTGATTGTGAAATTAAAATAAATATTTATTTAAAAGCGCAAATATTTCGCAATTGAATATTTTGTGCACGTGAAAAACAATTTTATTTTTTATATGGAATTTAAGCATAAAAAAACTCATTCGATTTTGAGGTTAATTCGCAACATGGCGGACATCGTGTGGATACAGTAGATTTCTAGATTTTAAAATTTACGGTGGATTTTTATACGGAAATTCGCAAGTAATAAAAAGAGTACTATTACATACTATTTTAATTTTATTTAGTATGAATATTCACATCGACAGATACTGGAACAGTGAAAATGAATTCCTAACATGATTTTGCGCCTGAAGATTAATGTTTGTTTATGTAACGCATAGTAAGCAGTGCTTGTTTAAGCGGTAAACACGCGATGGAATATAATCGTTCACATCTATCGATATCAAGTGCGAAACGACGTAAATAAATTGTTCCGTAATTTATGATATTTAAAAAAACAATATTCCTTAATAAAAAAGTTACATTATTACAGGTTTAAACGCTGACAAGATTTTCAAATTCTGAAATAATTTTGAATCATACACGTGGTATTCAGATTACACATATATACACAACGGAAACACTTGTTATTGATACAAGTTTCTTTCATTAAGACGCTGAATGTCAGAAAAAAATAACTGTACCTGTTGTGGCAGCTTCAACTGAAAATTATTAACCCAGATAAACCTTTTTTTTTTCAAAATAATATCATTTTCCCTCTACTGGGGGTTTAAATGGAACGCATAATTAAATTTTTGTACGATCACCCTTCTGGAAGGTTGCTAGACATATCTGGGTTAAGCGTATGAACGTGCAATTTTTTAATTCCGTATTTCGACTTATTGCTTTATATTAATATTATTTAGGATTCTTATTCCTTTTCTACTTCCAGTTATTTGATCCGCAATTTAGTTAAAAAGGAATAAATAAAAATATAATTGATCAATTTCGTTTTTCTCGCCGTGACAATATAACGAGAGTGTATATATAAATATAAGCAGTACTGAAGTTAGTGGGTCATAAAACAAGCAGGATAAAATTTAAATAAAAAATCGAACAAGAAAAAGGAAAAAATAGGCGAACAATTCATGCAGCGAACATCAGTTCACCGGATACTGTCGCATTATTATAGTTCATTAATGCATGGCGCTGTTACGCAAGATATTTTGCGAAATATCGCCGAGAACAGGTATCATGTTGTACGTGATTATCTCGTATGCTGCTCTTGCATCTACAGCGAAAAAATCGCGTTGGAACATCGAAAAATGATTTTCAAAGGGATTTGTTATTTACCCTGCAAACAAATATAAGAAATAAAAGGATCATTGTGTAACACAATTTCAGTAGACTATTTTATTACTATTTACCTTTCTATTCAACTAATAATTTCTAGCTATTTTGTTATGTTGAATAAAAATCACATTTGTATTAACATCATATATTATTTTTGTTTATTGTAAAACGCTTAATCTATCATTCTGGTTCCCCAAATATTTATATTATAAATTCTTATATTAATAGCTGAACTTTAAGTTATAGCTACATTACATACATAACACAGTAAATGCAATGCATAAAGCATCTATTTAATTTAACATTGAATATAAAGTAACGTTGAATCTTTAAATCTACTTTTGTCTAAAGCGCAAAAAATAAATATACACTCAGCCATTGGTATGTTTATTTTTTGTTTTCTTTGAAAAGATAAAAAGCTTCTTGAAGATACTACTTAATTACTACTTCTACCTGATCTTTAGATTAAAGTTAACGTTAAATGAAAATTATTAGAATACTCTATTATTTCTTATTTCAAACACTGACTTCCGGCTTTAGACCATAGCTTTCAAGTTTGTAGGTTATTACATATTGTATATTGAAAAAATTCAAAGGTGTTAAATTTTTTGTATTGTATTATTGAAATACATCTGTGATTATATCATATTAAAGGAATTTAATTAATATATTATTGAAGCTGATCTCATCCAGGTAAAAGGTTATTGACTAGTAAAATTTTTTATGAATTTGGTTTTAATTATTCACTAGATGTCCTATCTGGCTGATGATGGATATCAAGTTTGCACTTCAAGATAACTGAATGACTGATAAATGTAAGAAGGTATGTCATATAGTTCAAAATAAAATGATTGACTAGAGCTAAAAGATAACTTTATTTGTTAAATAATATGTGCTATACACAGTTGAAATTACTAACGTCTCTTCATGTAATCACGTGTGTATAAAGTTCAACAATATGTCTTTACTTTATATGACATCATAAGTAATGATTAATATTTGAACTTAAATAAAAACTTTTAAGGCTAAACCTTGTATGATAAGTCTGAACTTTTAATGACGGATAAAAAATCTCATAAAATGGTAAATATACTATTTATATTCGCAGCAAAAACAAAATATTCAACGATTAGTACGATTTATGACATGTTATTAGAAAAAGCATGTTACTTTTTACCTCGATGCCATACTACATTATACACTGAATCTACATATTCATAAAAAAATTACCGTAAAAAATGAGGAAGAATATATACTGTTTTTGCATAGTAAAATGAATTAGTGCTTATATGAAAATTATGCTGTTACACTGGTAAACTAACAACTAAAAATCTTATGCTTTAGCATTTAAATAAAGATCTTAGTGGTTTTAATTTATGCATGCTTAATTAAAAAATCTGTGATAATGAATGAAGGTAAAGAATAATTAAGAATCATAGTTTTCATAATTATATAGATTATCTTTAAAATCGTTATAAACGTTTTGCAGAAAATTCATTTAAACAAGTCAGTGCTGAATTCAATGAAACTTCTTTATGGTAAACAATTTGAAATAGTAAAATTAAGGAGATAATAATTTAGCACAAATAATTATTTTTAATAATATTCCCAGTATCAAAATTTTTCAACCTAAAATATTAGTTTTGCTATTGCAAGTGTAAAATTTATTTTGAAAAATTCCAGGAAATGTATGTATATTTGGAGTAAGCAAGCGTAAGCATAGATAAAGTGTGCCTATTTGAAGATACACTCGTTAGCGTAATAAAAGCTCGTTATTCCGATTTACGGTTCGATAAAAGCTATATACGCGTACCGTGACAAAAACGCTGATTAATATACAGTATTGAAATTGATATCTGAAAAGCATTTATTATCAACGTGCAATGGGACTGGAAAATACGACTATCAATTTTGCCGTATCAAAATATTATGACGCTACGCGACACGACCAATAATGGAAGATGAAAACATGGAAATTTTGACACAATATTAGCAGTATATATACAGGTCGATAGGGGCCATAAAGAGTTGCTTCGATTTTCAAGATTGAATCGAGCCCATTTTCAATGATAGCCGATCCAATCTGACTCGCGTTTATTTTCTTATCGCAAAGCATGACTAATGCTGTCATAAGCGGAATCGTAACACATAATCCGTGTATCTATCCGTGATATTTTTCCGCTTACTTTATATCGCACCGAGTAATTTGTATGCACTCGAAACACGTATGTGTCATAGCACCGAGACTGGGGCTAGTCAATGAATTCGCCATAACAGTTTCGGTGACTGCAGGTGCTCCCGAAAGAACAATTGCACCTGCGAGTTACCGTACGACAAAGCGGTACACCGTTAAACAAAGGGTAGCTCGGTGAAAGAGACTGAATCGACGATGCTAGGGGCAATTCTTTTGAATTCGACAAACAACGAACAGAGGAGTTAGGCGAATGTAGGGCACGAGAAGAGAGAAATGAAATCACCTCCATGATTGTTGAAGGAGCTTGGTGTCGATTCGAGGGCTGGGATGCTTGCGTGGGAGAGACCGAGGGTCAATCCGAAAAGCACAGCACTTGCCGCCAGCAACATTGTTCCTTGTCTCCTCCTGTTTCCAGGATACCTCGATTATCGGTTCTCCGACCAACAGCACTTGACTTATCACTCGCCAGAACGCGCTTTTTAAAAGAGCATCGCCGTCTACTGCACGACTCGCTTGCGACACCACGCACAATCGCGAAGTCAATATTTGAGCAGAATATCGATTCGCCAGAGAGAATGATTTCAATTCTCGCCGCTAGTTAGCGCCCGAGCACAACGCTCCGAAACAAATACGGACGAGCTGCATGCACACCATGAATCTTCCAGTATCGAGAGCCTCCAACTCATGATAAATTTTAGATTATTACTGTATCTTTATACTTTATCGGCTTCGGCTAATTAACGCCGATTGCTTTCGACATCATGACGGTGAGTTATAGGCATTTTCTTTAACTGCGGATATAACACTATTTCTTTATTTTAAACTGGAATCACATGGGCATTGAAGCGATGAATGTTGCATCTTACGTTATATAATTCGTGGACCTAGAAATATTGCGACACGGTAGAGGTAACTATGACTACGTTTCCATCGAGGGTTCAAATCGGGTCAGAGTCGGGTTGGGGTGAGCGCTTTTACGGTGGAAACACCAAAGGTTTAGTTGAACTCTACCCTACAAAATTTTAGGGTAGCGTTCAGTTGAGGTTCGATGGAAACGACAAGAGTCGAGTTCATATTGCCAACATAACAAATCCAAATTGCATTGTGTATCACGTGTTGTATTAATCGGTGTAGAAGAGGTTATTATTACTTTTTGTCGGTGATCTTGTAATCTGAGAAATAATTTTTGTATGTTATTTTGATATTGTAAAATTAATATTGCTCTCCTTTACATGTCAGAATATGGTAGTTGACTTTGTGCAGTTGGTAATGTTCAACCCTGCCGCAACTCCAACCCGCGACTCAAATCCGACTCTGACCCGATTTGGACCCTCGATGGAAACGTAGTC